TCTTACACATCCTCTTTCTGAAAGTGTTCCTAGTTTCCGTACCGATTAGAAATGCTGAATCATTAGCTCTCCTCTTCAAGGGGAGAGGGAGGCTAAGTAGGTCTGCAGGGATCATGTTTAACCAGGGCTTATCTTGCTGATGTTTATTCCAAGTCTCAATTGATGTTTCACAATATTGACTGTTGCTGTTATGTTTTTTAGTTGCCTGTGTTTTAGGAATGACACAATCTCTTCTTAAGTAGAGCTGATGATGCACATAGTCTCTTCGACCCTGTGAAGGATTTTCTTAGTGGCAGGCAATACATGTTCTTGAGTGTGGGTCAGCCATGGTCTTTCCACAATCTGATATATTGTTTGCCTGTACCAGATGGGCGCTCTGAGTAATTGATCAATGATAACGTGACAGGGTTTTGAGAAATGGTAGGGAATGAGGTACACCGTCGTGGTGATCCTGTGCATACCATCACTGGTGGTTTCTACATATGGCAATTCCCCAGTGACCAGGACATATAGGATGATGCCCAAGCTACACATATCACCTGCTAGTTCATCATAAGGTTTCCTTGCTAGTGTCTTTGAGGCCCAATAGAGCAAGGAGCCACAGACCTCTTCCAACTTCTGCCACTGTGCAAGCTTGAGTGGCTTATACCCAAATTACAAAGCTTGATGTTGCCTGCTCCATCAGGAAGGATATTCTCCAATTTAAGATCACAATTTACAATGTGTCTTTGGTGGAGAAAGTGCACCACTGACATGACCTGTTGGAATATTTGTCTAGTGGTCTCCTCCTTTAGATAGCCCTCCTCCCTGAGGAAAACCTCCATATCTTTTTCTGTAACATACTCCATGACTACATAGTCATTGTCAGTATGTCAATGATGTGAAAATATGAACAATGTTACTGTGTTCCAAAGATTGAAGGATTTTTACATCAGAATTGATGTTAGCCAGAGCATTGTTGTTTCTCATGGATCTTGACAGCCACTTGAGCATGTGTGGAAAGGTGGCAGGCAAGCATCACCTTTCTTAATGCACCTCAAGTTTGATTTAAGATCCTGACATCCTTTTCAAGGCTGTCCTTTTACCATGGATTGAACAAGATGTTCAGCTCAATTTTATCCACTGTAATTTGTGGGAAATTTCAGGACACACAAAGCTAGAAAAAAATAATTTTAGGATCATTATGACTTGAAATCTGAGATATTCCAAACAGCCTAATGATGCCTTTAAGGTCCTAGAAATACAAGAAAAATCCAGAGGATAATTTACATAAAGAAACGGGATCAGAGTGTAGCATAGGTTCAGTTTCTGGGGAAAGAGACCATACTGAAGGCACAGTGACCACTGATCTGCTCGGCTGTACATAAATAAATAGCTACAGAAAATAGCTACAACTAGGGATATTATCATATAAAAGAAACATTCCACAACAGAAATACATTTTCTTCTGCTGTGGACTTCCACAAGAAGAGGGCTGAGCCTTTGTAAAAGAAAGTATTTGTCCCAGATAGGAAGTGGAGGAAGTGAAATAGAGCAGGACAGTTTAACCAAAATGCTGTATAGGCATGGATGTGAATATTATAATGAAATGGCTATGGGCAATGTAATGGAAAGGGGCCAGTCAAAGAAACAAACCCTGGCCAGAGACAAACAGGCTTCGGTCCTGAAACTGGAACCAAGGAAACATACCTTGACCCTGAGATTATATCCAGTTCTGACCCCAAATCCAGGGCCTAAAGGTTAAACCCCTTCAGCAATGTGGCAGGGTATAAGATTAACTAAAAATCGGTAGCCCTCCTATATACAAATGATAAATGGGCTGAGAAAGAAATCAGAGAAACATCACCCTTTACTATAGCCACAAACAATATACAATACCTTGAATTGTATGATAAGAACTTTAAGTCTCTGAAGAAAGAAATTGAAGATATCAGAAAATGGAAAGATCTCCCATGCTCATGAATAGGTAGGATTAACATAGTAAAAATGGCAATCTTACCAAAAACAATATATAGATTCAATGAAATCCCTGTCAAAATCCCAACACAATTCTTCACAGACCTGAAAAGAACAATTCTCAACTTCATATGGAAAAACAAAAATCCCAGGATAGCTAAAATGAGGCATCATGATCCCTGACCTCAAGCTCTACTATAGAGCTATAGTCATACAAACAGCTGGGTACTGGCATAAAGACATGTGGACCAACTGAATCAAATTGAAGACCCTGACATTAATCTGCACACCTGTGAACACCTGATTTTTGACAAAGAAGCCAAAACTGTACTATGAAGAAAAAAGCATCTTCAACAAATGGTGCTGGCATAACTGGATGTCAACATGTAGAAGCTTGCAAATAGATCCATATCTGTTGCCATTCACAAAACTCAAGTCCAAGTGGATCAAAGACCTCAACATAAATCCGGTTTCACTGAACTTGACAGAAGAGAAAGTAGGAAGTATTCTTGAACATATTGGCACAGGAGACCACTTTTGAAATATAACAGGAGCACAGATACTGAGAGCAACAATTAATAAATGAGACTTTCTAAAACTGAGAAGCTTTTGTAGGGTAAAGTACATGGTTAATAAAATAAAAAGACAGCCTACAGAATGGGAAAAGATCTTCATCAACCCCACATCTGACAGAGGGCTGATCTCTAAAGGAATTCAAGAAACGAGACATAATACTGAACAATTGAAAAATGGGCTACAGAGGTGAACAGTGTATTCTCAATAGAAGAATCTCAAGTGGCCAAAAGACATTTAAGGAATTGCTCGACATCCTTAGTCATCAGGGAAATGCAAATCCAAATAAGTCTGATACACCAACTTACACCTGTCAGAATGGGTGTGATCAAAAACACTGGTGACAGTTTATGTTGGAGAGGATGCAGAGCAAGGGGAATACTCCTCCACTGTTGGTGGGAGTGCAAACTTGTACAGCCACTTTGGAAATTGGTATGGCAGTTTCTCAGAAAATTGGGAATCAATCTACCTCAAGACCCAGCTATACCACTCTTGGGCATATACCCAAGTAATGCTCAATCATACCACAAGGATACATGCTCAACTATTATGAAATTTGCAGGTAAATGGATGGAACTAGAAAATATCCTGAGTGAGTTAACCCACACTCAGAAGGACAAACGTGGTATGTACTCACTCATAAGTGGATAGTAGATGTACAGCAAAGGATAACCAGACTGTAATCCACAGCTCTAGGGAGGCTAGCTAGCAGGGAGGACCCTAGGAGGGACTCATGGATCACCCAGTGAAGGAGAAATAGATGAGATCTACTTGAGCAAATTGGGGGTGGGGGGTAATGGAGGGCAAGGGATAGGGGATGATAACATAGGGGATCAGGAGGTTCAAGCTGGAACAGGGACAGAGTGGGAGAGCAAGGAAATATCATGGTAAATGAAGACATCATGGGAATAGGGAGAAACAGAGTGCTAGGGAAATTCCTAGCAATCCACAAGGATGACCCCAGCTTAGACTACTGGCAATAGTTGAGACAGTGCCTAAACTGCCCTACTCCAGTATTTGGTGGGTAAATACACTAACTGTCATCATAGAGCCTTCATCCACTGACTGATGGAAGCAGATGCAGAGATTCACAACTGGGTGCCAGGCTGAGCTCCAGGAGTCAATGAGAGAGAGGAGGGATTCTGTGAGCAAGGGACATCAAGATCATGATGGGAAAATGTACAGAGACGGCCAGCCAAACTAGTGGAAATGCATGAACTGTGGACCAATAGCTGTGGAGCCCCCATGGTACTGAACTAGGCCCTCTGGATAGGCAAGACAGTTGTTTAGCTTGAATTTTTGGGAGCCCCCAGGCAGTGGGGTTGGTATCCGTCCCTGGTTCATGAGCCAACTTTTGGAGCCCAGTGCTTGTGGTGGGACACCTTGAGCAGCTTTGGTGCAGGGAGGAGGGGCTTGTTCCTGCCTCAACTGAATGTACTAGGTTCTGCTGACTTCCTATTGGAGATTTTGCTTTGGAGAGATGGAAATTGTGAGTGGGTTGAAGGGGAAGGCTGGGGGGCAGGAGGAGAAAGGGGATCTGTAGTTGGTATGTAAAATGAATAGAAAATTTCTTAATAAAAAACATAGACCTTCAAATGAAAAGGGGGGGCAGTGAAAGAAACACACCCTAGCCCTGAGATCAGAGCTCCAAGGTTAAAAATAGGCATTGAAAGAAACACGCTTTGGCCATGAAATCAGAGCCAAAGAAACACAATCTGCCCCTGACCAACTCAGCACAAAAAAAAAACCCAATCAATCCCTGAGCAGGAAAACCAATTCCCACCCTGGAAAAACTCCACCACTAAGCAGTCCTCTATAAGTCCTGTGCCTGTTCAGTTGGCAGCTGCCCTTTCCACCTTGGCAGAGGCAGCCACTCTCCTGGATTCCTCCTCATAATAAATCTATTGAATGAGGTATGTGTGAAGACCTTCTTTCGCTTGACTGGAACAGAGAAGCAAAGGCATCTCTGCTGGGAAACTCTTACCGGAGTGGAGCAAAGAATAACAATGTTCTTCAGAGCAGAACTATAACACTTTCTCTGAGGGAAACCTTCCCCTAGTGGAGCAGAGTTGTTACACTCCTGGGGATCTGAGAGTCTAACAACATCACTGGGGAAACCCTCCCCTACTGGGGTAGAGTTGTTACATTGTGGAAGCCTTTCCCTGGAGCAGAACTGTAAGGTGCTATGCTTAATAGTGACTTTGAGGTATTCCTTGGCTACTGACTGCCAGAATGCTTTTCCATCTAAGCTGCAACGCTTATGGTTAGTATATAGTAACACTTGTTCTAACAGATGAAAATTGAAACCAAATTAAAAAAAATATGTTCAAATAGGAAATTGGGTAAATATAAAGTAATCGATAAGACATTCATAAATCAAGCCTAGGATGTAAACCAATAATGTAAATGCAAACATGAGACAGTAAACCTTAATCCCTGGAGGCAACCAAAAAACGGGAAACAAAACTCACTCTAGCAAGGTCCAGTAGATTGGAGATTCCTAGTCTATCAGCCAGTTTTAAGTCCAATTGCTCTGTAAACAACCAACAGCTACTCCAAGATACAAGGACAGGAGCCCAATGCAGCCACTGCCCAACATGGAGTTGTTAGTGTTCTTCATAATGCCTCCTTGTGATGTCACCACAAGCAACTGACCAATCACAGCTGGTCAGAACTGACAGTGGTTTGGATAAGGTTTTGTACTACAACCAGTAAGTACACTGAGTATTTTGCTCATTGCTAAGCAAATATGAACTCTAGGGAGGAAGGGTTTATTGGTGCACAGGCTTTCAAGAGACACTGAAGCCATGGTGGTGGGAGTATCTTGTTCCATACAGGGCTGGTATTTATCTGCCTGGTGACCCTGCATTAGAAGTTCTCTATCCCCAAGTGACAAGTTCCTGTAGCTAGCTCCACATCCATGTGTTCCACAAATTCCCAAACTAGAAACCAAGTGCTCAACACATCTGACTTTTAACAAAACCCCTGTGGTACTTTGAATTAGCGATGTCTCATACAAACTGGTCATTTGAGCACATGGACACACAAGGACAGTTGATGGTACAGTTGGGGAACTTTATGGTGGAGCCTTAGTGGCGAAGGTATATCACTGGGACTGTCCTTGAGATGAACAAGCCTAGTCTGCATTTGTGTTTCTCTTCCTGCTTGAGTTTGAGGATGTGGCACTCAGTCTCCTGCATTTGCCTTCAAGCTTTCAGCTAGCTGTCATGCCTCTGTCAAACCAATGTGGGCTCGTATCCTTCCAAAAATCAGCCTGATATGCTTTAAGATCCCATGTCTGTGAACTTTTATCACAACATAATAGCAACCAATAAACATGGGCTTAGCAAAGATGGTTTCTACCCATCCCCACACCACCCACATGGTCCAGAAGTCAAGGCAGATTGGTTGCTGTCTCATAGTCACATGTTAACTGTCTCTTCTGCCCACCCCCACCGGAGAATCTGTGAACCCTGCAAGTAGCCTCAATTGCAGATCCATTCCTCTGTCATGTAGCACAAGCCTCATATTAAATAAGCCTCCTTTTTGGTGGTGGTGGACCCCCTGTCCCTAGAGAAACCTTGAAGTCCATGGAAACATATTTTATCTGATAGAGATGAAACTACTTCAGACTCCCACTGAGTGGTCATCATTGCTAGAGTCCTTTCGCCTGGAAGGAGGATCTCTCTTAGCATCTAAGTTCCTCTATAACCTCCCGTCTTTCATTGGCCTCCCTAATAAAACAAATTCATACAATGAGAAATACAAGAATGAGTGGAAAACTCAAAAGTCTAAATAAAACTAGGCAACACAATCTGTAAGAACCAAAGGGTCAACAATGTCTTGTTACTGGGAAAATTCACTGATGAATTCAGCAATCTAAAGAAATAACTGTAATGATGCCCAAGTATTTCAGTAGTCCATAAAACTGATGGAAGGGATACTTTCAAATCTTCATAAACTCTTTTCAGAAAGCCCTTACACTCTAACCAAGTAAAGTCACCTTGAAAAGAAACAAGAATTTGACAGTATCCTTGACTAAGAAATGGGAATATCCTTAAGGAGAGTACTAGATCCTTGACTTCATAGTCAATGACACATTAAAAAGATGATTCTTCATGGTCGGGATCCCTTCACTGGGAACACAAGAATCAAGCCACATACAAAAATTTACAAAGTGTATAATATAGTTATCCATGAAAAAGAATGAAATGCCACTGCCAGGGACAAACATGGAACTAGACCAAGTTTTATTACAAACAATCCAATTCTACAAACACAAAAATGTTAATTTTTGTGTGTCTGTATATATTCAAGGGGATGAATTTTTTATATTTGTAAGTATTGGTCACATCGGCAGGGAAGTGATATAGACCTGGTGAATATTGCCGCAGTTCACTATAGGAGGACTATGAAATTCTGATCAAATTCCTCAATGTATTCATGCATACCACCAAAGTATAAAATTAGCCAGAATATGGGTAACAGTGACAAATGAGGTTGAAAGAAATGGAAAATCTCAGTCAATGAAGAAATAGAAATACAGCCAAATTTTAAAACAAATAAAAAAAATGAATGTCAAAAAATAAATGCCAAGCATGAAAAGCCAAACGGGAAGCTCACCTTTCCAAGATCCCACTGACTGGGAAAGTCCACATCTATGAGAAATAGTCTAACTGCTCATCCACCAACCACCTCCTTTTCTGAAATACAAGGACAAAACCCAGCCCCAGGTAGTGCCTTATGTGGACTGGTATCTAGTTTACCTCACAATGAGTCCTTGTGATGTCACATGCAATGGGCCAATCAAGGCTCAAGAAAACCCACATTGTTGTTGTTGTTGTTGTTGCACCCTCTAACTTTCTATTTTGAACACTATACCAATTCATCCCATGGCTGTGATCGAATAGCTTTAAATGCTTTACTTATGAGTGGAGAACACACTTAACCTCGGATTTATAAGTGCCTAAGGAAACATAATGGGGAAACTTGTAGGATGGACATCAGGAGTGTGATGCAGTTGGTAACATGGCGTTGTCATCCCCTGTTCCTCCCTCACCTAAGATTTTCTGGTTGGTCCTGTGTGCAAAGATTGCACAGTGTCCCCAACAGCACAGCCTGGTGATGACCAAGTATACAAACCTACTTGACAGTAGTGACATTCCACATCAAATCTCACTCAGGGACCGTTGCCACGTCAATAATATTAGTTACTGTAACAGAAAAACAATGATAGATTGCAGAAACTTGAGCTTCCTGCTGTGAATGATTGATTGATAAATAAAATGCGGATTGGCCGGTAGCCAGACAGGAAGTATAGGCAGGACAAAGAGGGAGGAAAATTCTGAGAAGTGGAAGGCTGGGGGAGGGAGATGCTGCCAGCCGCTTCGATGAGTAGCAAGATGTAAGTTACCCATAAGCCACGAGCCACTTGGCAAGGTATAGATGAATAAAAATGGGCTGAGTTTAAGTGTAAGAGCTAGACAGTGGTAGGCCTGAGCTAATGGCCGAGCAGTTTAAGTAATATAAACATCTGAGTGATTATTTTATAAGTGGGCTGTGGGACTGCGGGGAGGGGGGGGTTGGTGGAACCTGGAGAGAAACTCTCCAGCTACAGCTTCCCATGGTAGTGGACACAGGTATATTAACTGCTTCTAGGAGAATGTGTGTGGGTTTTTCATGGAATTTCACTTCAGCCCTCAATTTCTATAGTAGTTTTGCCTTTTTCCAGACTTAGCTCACCATAACTACATAACTACATAACTACAGGCTTTAATGGTGACATTTAGAGTGGTGGTGAGTTTACATGAGAGCAGACTCACTGACATTGCATGCTCTAAAACTCACAGCACATTAACATCTGTCTCTGATGGTCATGAGACTCACATTGTCACTGGGAGTTTGTCAAATCATATGTCTCTGACATGATTCTGTCATCTCTAAGTAGCATTAGTGAAAACATTAGCATGCATCAGCAGTCAACCAGTGTGCTTAAAAATTCTGAATGTCATATCCCTTACACAGTCTCATTCTATGTTTCTGTCTCCTACTCCCATCATTTAACTCAGAAAGCATGGGCTCCATGACTGACCCTGATCATGTTCAGGAATGTCTTTGTTGAAACTTATTTTCATTGTCCCCATTGATTGCAAGAATTTCCCAATGCATTTGGGATTCTTGAACGCAGCACTGGTCACTTGTGAAAAGGGGTGAATAGAGAGAGAGCAGGCATGGCAGGAATCAGGGCCTGGTGCCTGCTAGGTCGGGAGGATACTGAAAAGATTTCCAAGGCTGGCTCAGTGATGGCTGCGGGAAGGACAGGATAGCTGAGGATGAAGACAAAGCCTGCAGTCTGTCCTTTGTGACTGGGGACTACTTACCTGATATAAGGCACAAACTTCCTAGGTCTGAGCTGATGGATTCCTAACCAGATGAATGGAAAAAACAATATGTTTTCTTTGGCCATACCTCATGTTCTTTTAGAAATTGAGAGCCACATCCCACGGGTCACACAACATCACAGCATCATTTACTCATTCTCTTAGGAACACTGGAGCAATATGAACGGTACAAAGCCCCTTAGAGCCATGACCTTGAGTAACTTACATGGGCATTCCATGGGACTCCTAGGTCTTTCCTCTTCGAACTAAGCACAGCGGCATGTTAGTACAGAAAATGAAGTCACAAGGCCTATTACCCACTCAGTGTTCTTGGTATGGACTGCTATGGAAATCTTTTACCTTCATCTAATCTCCCCACTCTGCTGAGCTTTCACTCCCATAGAGTTCTCATGGTATGGATTGCATCTGGTTCTCTCTGCTGGGCAGTGAACCAGGGATCAGGAGATCCCATAGTCATTTTGTACCAGGCCACTTGTCCTTTGGCCTTGGTTTTACATTTAGCTTCATTCTTACAATCCATGGAGAATCAACATCATTTGGGTGTCATTTTCCCTATGAGGTCTTGGTCACTAACCTATGACATTGAATGTCTACACAGTATGCAGGAAAACCAAGGTGGGAAGGTAGGTATTCTGTGGTCAAGACACAGAGGATGGTCAATGGCGATGGCATTCCACATTGCTTTACTGGGGTTTGCATCTCTGTGGAGCTGTCCTCCTTAAGTCTCACCAGGTGGTTTCCAGAGCCCACTGGTGTCAGAAGTGGTTTACCTTCCCTGGGGCCCCAGCAATGGAAAAGCTGTGGAGTAGGCTGCTGGGTGAGAGCAGGGAAGGTGAACACAGTAATATGCCTTTCCATCGGGGCTTTACTCATGGGCAGTCTGCTTCCATCAAAGGTCAAAGGTGCATCAGTCCTTCCTTGACATAGTCCCAGCCACCTGGATTAGCCTACTGACCACCCAGCACCGGATCTGCCAGACCTTCAAAAGTGCTCAGACTCAGCTCCAGCAGTAAACCCTCATGGCTCACGAATGTATCTGCCTAATGACACCAATATATTCCCAGAGTAATAGCTATGTTTTCTTGTCCATCTACAGACCTCATCTCAGTGCCCCCTACCCTTGGTGAGTCAGAACTTGTTCAGTTGGGATTATACTGAGCAGTGTGTACTGGGAAGCAGAGTGGTGTGCTGCAGGGACTTACAACTT